CTTAAAGGATGACAGGGTTTCTTGAAGAAAGACCAAGCCTGGTATGGGTTCATTTAGTACATGTCAAGCTACTGCAGACATCTGTTTTCATCCTAAAAGTAAGGGGTGGTATTTGCCAAAACGCCGAATATGATGCTAGCAGATGCATGAAGAACCAACAGTGCATCTACAAAGCGATTGGTAAGTACTGCATACGTTTACCAGACTTTCAGCCAAAAGGTCTACAGCTGCCTTCTAAGACCCTAGCAGAATCCCAACTGTCTTGACATTTTCTTATGTCTTTGGAGCTGTGCCTGTTCTGGGTCCTCAGTAGCCCAGGCCCTTGACCTCTTTCTTACAAGTCATTCCCCGATACATATACATATAACTAAGCCAGGAACAAGGAAAGACCAAAGACAGAGAAGTCAGGGGTTGTCAAAAGCTACTGCTTCACACAATCAACTCTGAGTTCAGAGATGTTTTGACCCTGGTCAGAGGGGTAAGGAACACTGGAACCTCTTGCAGAGACTTCAAGGAGAAATTTCACGCAGCCTGCTAGGACAAGAGAGAAGGCTTTCACAGGTAACAATTCTTTGCAGAATTAAATCATTTTTTTCTCTTGGCTTCCATTTATTGATCCCATTTATTACTAAATCAATGGTGTCAAAATCTCTGACTGAAAAGGACAAACATAAATAAATATAATTCAATTCTGGCAGATGCTGAAATGAAATGGGATCGTGTGGATCAAATAATGAAACAATTAAAGAACGTTTAGATGTTTATTTTCATGTTAAAAATGACGAGTTACCCAGTGGTTAGAATATACCTTTATGCTGAAAACCATGAAGTCACTTCATTTCTGACATATTTCCTTAAAAAGAAAAGGAGAAATCCAAAAGTCATGAAGGGCATGAAGTTCGAAATGTTCCAGCAACAATTCACAACACGAGTCAGGTTTTTCCCAGGCCCGAATTTTGAAATTGATGCGTTTCAAGATTTTCACGTTGGGACGTCTTTCCCCATCAGTGCAGATGTTTTTGAGAGAAATGTGTGTGCATTTAAGAGCTACAACTTTTCACTGTAAAATGTACTTGCTCCAATACAGCTCGCAGTATTTCGGTATATTGCCTACATTACATACAAAAATATATGCTATCCAAATTTTAGCGTAAGATTTCCACCATCCACTCTGTTCCTGTCCATAACAGATGACAGGTGATACAGTGTACATGTCTACTTTTAAGGGAGGAGATGGTTGCTGAGTTTACACACCAGATATTTTGTCAATACGGGGACTGAAATGGAGACTTGGGGCCATTCTTTCGATGAGTAGGGTAGAAAACACCACAGACCCACTGGCATGTAGGGTTCAGTTGAGACTGCCCTTCTGGTTGTTGCTGTTGGACCGAACAGTTCTTTTCTGAGGAACACAGCTTTATTGCAGTCTTTGCCTCCTCACCTTGGGAAGGCACCTTTCTAAAAGAGTTCAGCAAAGATGCTGTCCAAATGCACAAAGGCAGTCTTTCCAGCACTTAAAAATTGCCAAGGTACAGATGTGACCAAAAAGAAGAATGATAATCCACCTTTTCCTCTACAATGGTGTATTCAAATAGTAACTCTCTGGATACATTTTAAGGATCATTGTGATCTGGTAACTTACCCTGGCCAGTGCGCACTGTTCTTCTGGGAAACTGCTGGCTGTCTTCATTCTTGCATTCTCTCAAATACAACTCACTGTGTATTCAAGGTCCAGGTTACTCTTATACGAGTTGCTTCTCTGTCCCTGTGTAGTGGCTTCTAAAGGGGTATATTGGGACGCTGGAGCCATCAGCTCATGCCTCAAGTGGCTCAGGCCCTGTGGTCCTCGTTGACTCATCCAAAGCTTTCACCACATGACCCACAGAGTTCACAGTGTGGCCTTCTCTGGAGAGACCAAAGCCCCCTTGGGAAAAGGTTACCATGTTCCATTCTTACAGAAAAGGAAGAAACTTCATAAAAGTGCTTTAGTACAAACTATTAACTTCAACCACTTGTATGGCTACCTCAGCCACAAAAATGCCTGGAAAGTTCAGGCAAATGCATGACCCTCAAGGAATTGGATTTCAAGGCTTTACAATACATTTTAAGGAGCTCTGGTAGTGTAGTGGTTACGAGTCAGGCTGCTAATCTCACAGTCAGCAGTTCATAAGTACCAGCTGTTCTGCGGGAAAAAGATGAGGCTTTCTGCTCCCATAAAGATTTACAGCCTCGGAAACCTTATGCAGGGTTGCTATGAGTCGGAACCGACTCCACAGCACATAACCACCACCACCGTAATACATTTCCCCATTTTACTTTAGATCTTTGAGGGGCGTAGTGCTGATTAGTTTGAAAGCATTTGTTGGAAAACACATTGCTGTAACCCATGGTTTCTAATCACCAGGAAATGTTTTGAGCAGATCAAACATCGATGACATTCTATTGATCTGAGTCGTGTCTATGACAAATCTGAGAGTAATTGAAAGTCACTGGGGATTCCTAGCACATGTCTTATTCATTGGCTCTTCAGGGTTCACACATATACGGATGTGTGTGTGTCTGTGTGTGAAGTGTATACTAAAAAGGACCCATTACCCCCTGACCCTTCCACGTGCATTTCATTTTGAACAGATGGAGCACAGGCTGTCGTCCTGGGCCACCCTACCTCACAGGAGGCATGTTTAGGACAGCAGTCTTCAACTCTGCTCTGAAATCATGAGCATATTCTAACCCCCTAGCTGCTGCCCCCCTGCACCACGTCATGCACCCATTTCACAGAAAATGCTCTCACTTTACCAGCAGGTGGCATCCTGCTGGGTGGAACTCACCCCTATTTCTGCTGAGATCCTGCCAATGTTGGATCTCCAATATTTCTGGAATGTTGACAACCCCATGGAGAAAGCCATGTAGTGTGAGCAGTATTTATATCTGCTTAACTATGAGGGGGTTTCAGCTACTTCAAGGAGAAATGGATTTAAACAATAATGGCATTTTCCATGAATTGTTTTGAAACTCGTCTCGTACATTCTCATTACACCATCCCTATGGCTCTGCAAGCTTAGATTCAGGACACTTCTCACCAAAGCCTTTGAAAAGCAGTGGGTTTGGTGACCTTTGGCCATCTAAGGGACTCTTCCTACACAGTACAGGTCACCTCTCTGCAAATTCCTTTTGTAGTCTCTGGGTTTCATTCTCTAGACACAGTGAAAGCTATTGAGAATGTTACCAGCTTCTGTTCCACACCTCCATGTTAAATACTTGCCAAACCATCTGACTACCTGCCCCTGGAGTTCAGATCTTCATCACCTGTGACACCTTCACTGTCGACAGAACGTGGTCCTCTGGGCAAGAGGCGAGCCACCAACGAAGTGCTCTAGGGTTGTCAATGCAATGGGACTCTAGAAGGCAGCTAAACTCCTGCCTTGGAAGAGCTCCACCATTAGTCACTGGAAGTCATGAGGCTGCTTCCAAGTCCCTCCAGCAGGTCCTTCAAACCTTGTCCCTCAGAGATGTAAATGGCTCCACAGAGCTCACCAGCAGGCATTCTGGTCCACTTTCTGCTTTTCTAGCTACTCCATCTTCATAAAGAAGTGTCATCACGTTGCCTGATCTGCAAGTCTTGCTTTGCTTGACACTACTCAGGATGTTCTTTAAATAACATTTTCTATTTAAAAGTTATGCGGGGCTAGTGCTCTCTCGCTCTCTCTCTCTCTCTCTCTCACGCTTGCCACTTTGATTTTCTCATCGCTGTCATTTTTCATCACAACAGCTTCTTGTGCTCTGGAACTGTTGTTTCTTTTTATGAAGGTTTTGTGTGTGTGTGTGTGTGTGTGTGTGTGTGTGTGTGTGTGTTTAACAGAAACCCATTACTGTTGTCCATCAGTGCACACCCTGGAAAGGTTCTGTCTCAGCCAGAATCATGATGGATTTTTTTTTTTTTCTCTTTTTTGGTCATTGTATAGATGGATTTCTACATACTGTTAAGTTGAAATATTATTATATTTACATTTTTTTTTCAACTTTTTTGTTCTGGAAAAAAATAGGAAGTTTAATCTGTAGCCACTTTTCCTAGGCAATTTCCCTTCTGTGTGTATCCTTTCTGCTCTTAGAATTCAAGTGTGAATAATGAATTATGTTGCCCACAAAGCCCTGGCATCCATAAAGCTAGTTGGAGGTACTTTGCCCTCAGAAATGCCACTCCAGGAGTCGCCGATGTGTTTCCAATAAGCATAGGATAAAAATAAAACTCTTTGTGATCCACAATTTTTCTCCAAAATTATCAAGCTTCACATGGAAAAGTGTAAAGACATGGCCCTGCCTCACAGTCTATTCGTATTTTAGGTGAAACCTCTTATCCGATACGAAAAAAAACCTAAGAAAGAAAAGGAAAAGAACAGAGCACAGAGTGAAGGTAAGCTTTACAGCTATCACACCCACACACTGAAATGAGGAAAACTGGAGAGAAGCTGATGTGGCAGGAAGTAAGAGGACGTGGCAAATCCCAGTGAATACAACTCAGAGGTACATCAAACAGATTTCAAAGGTAACACTGAAGTGCCTCCTCTTCATATTTCAAAAAGAATTCCAGAGGTCAAAGGAACCAGGTGCAGGTGCAAATGTATATAAAGGTAATAAGGAGTGCTCATAACAAACGAGGAACGCTACATTCAGGTATCTTTCGCATAGGTCTCATCTCAGGCCAAGGGTAAGAAATGTCCACTGTGCTTTAAAAGGTCAAGAAATAGAAAAATCAACACCCAAAATCTTGTCTAATTCCAAACGGCTGCTCATTACGAGATGACTAACAATGTCTGTCTGTCTGTGGGGTCAGGTTCTTTATATTTGCGCCAATCTGGTGCCAGTTAAGATATCAAACAATTGTTAGAGTTTCCCCAGTACCTACATGTAGGCGGTTTTACAGGCATTTCCCGACTTACAACCCTGATGCTTCAACTCTCCTGACCTCCGCTACGTGCTTGGAAAGGGATCCCACCGGACCGCCACAGATTAAACTTGTTAAATCCTCCCCTATTGCTGATTAGCTTACTGCTCCCCCATCCCGAAAACAGAAGGCATAAAGGTGAATACAAACATAAGAAAGGAGTTCACAGCTGGTCTTGCAGTCTCTCCATGTAGTCTCTCAAGTCCTGGGAAGCCCCCAGCCCCATGTCTTGGCAGACCCACTTCATGCTGTCGTCACTGTCAAACAGGATGGAGTTGGTGTAGGGGCCGCCATCCTCTGGGAGAATGGTGGTGTAGGAAGTGAACTTGACTCTCTTCCTCTTAGGGCCCGGAGGGTTAACCGGTTCCGTTTTCAACTCTTTCTCATACACATAATCAGAAGGTCTGAGTAGTGGACTATGGAAAGTCTTCTGGGAACTGCCGTTCAGAAGGAAGTTCCTCTCCTCGAACTGCAGCCCCCTGTCTAGCATGGTTGTGCACTCCTCAGACGGGAGAGGGATGCCAACAGGGTGCTCCAAGAGTTCCACTTCGTTCCCAAGCCAGACCCAGTCGTGGGAATGGGGAATGTTGCCCTGCTCGCTCACAGCAAACCTTTTGTGTCTGTATTTCCAGGCAAATGCCACACAGTTGATTAAGAAGACCAAGATGGCCAGACAGAAGACGCAGAGCAGGGCATACATGCCAATCTCCAGGTCAGTTAGCCCCCGGGAGGTCACTGTGAGGTCACTGGGATCATTGGCTTCTGGTAACTTGCCTTGAGTGGGGAAGCTGGTGAACGTATCTGGACCACTACTCTTGAGTAATTTCTTATCCTTTCCTTCCATGGGAGACTGCGGGGTTGTGCTCTTGTTGGTACCCTCCTCATGACCAACAGATGCACCATGTTGGATCCACTCCTGAACTGCTCTCTCCTGGTTTCCTTCACGCTCTATGGAATTACTCAGGTGGTTTCTATATTCTCGATTTATGCCCTCAATATCATTGGTACCTCCTCGGTGCTCATTAAGATTTGGTTCAAATTTGACCTTGACACTTCCTTTACCCACAGCGAGAACACTCTTTCTCTTGGTCTTCTGACAAGGTTCACTTATCATCATTTCTAACTTAATCAAGGATCCTTGCCCTTCGCCCTCTGCAACTACAACTGGCCATTTCGACTGAAGGTTTGGCTGGACGGACACCACCATTTCATCCAATGAGGAGACAGTGACTGAGAAATCCTTGGGATCATAAATGTCTAAAGGTGTCACCGAGCCATCACTGAACAAAATCCAAGAACTGACTATTGCTTCCTAAGAAAAATGAAACCAAAGCATTATGTTATAATCAGGTTCCATTAAATTTGCACACATAAATATTATTTTCTAGATAATATTCTTTAACTATCCAGACTGAGAAAAAATAAACCCTTATTTTTTATAATCTTGAAGAGTTTCTGGCATGCCAGGAACCAGCATCAATAATGTTCTATAGCGCCAATGATATGAAGAGCAATAATATACTTTGATGAATGCATTAGATATTAATTTATTACATGCCACACAACAGAATTTGACTTTGGCCTTTCCAAATACATTTTGAAAGATCAGGCCATTTATCTGAATCAATTTCAGGTGCAACTAATCAGGCTCCTGCTCAAGATAATATCACTTTGAACATTCTTTATTAGGGAGCCAACGCTGATAAAGCAAAACATGGCTGCTGGAAGTACTTGGGGAAGATGCATTAGGAGACTGGCTTGCTTGAAAGACACAGCGACCCTGGTATTGGTAAAAACAGCTTGCTAAAAGTTTATAGATGGAGAGAGTTCTAGAGCTGACAGTATTTGCAGTTAGCAGGTTAGTGCCTACCAGCCCTGCTCGCTCAAGTAACTGAAATGGAATTTCCAACCATCAAAAGCCACCTGTTCTGGCAAAAGTGAACACAGGTGACCATTCTTTGGTCATGGTCTAGCAGCAGACTGTGCCTGGCACACATAAGCCCACTGGAAAGCAAATGGTCTGTGGACACGTGGTCTGTCCATATATGAGGAAACTTTATCCCAAACACTGAACACTTTTCTCAGACAAGAGACAGCAGATAAGAAGCTTCATAAACCAGCAGTCCGAGCTGCAATGTTCTACTGATCTCTTTTGCTGAACTTGATAACAGACAGAAAAGGCATGTCCATGGTCCATAGACGCAGGGGCCCCTGGGAATCTTACCTGCTGTGGAGCTTGTAGAACATCCCTGGCAGCCACTGTTGACACGATGGCTCTCCTGTCTGCTCTGTGAGGCTGCAGCGAGAGAGACAAGCCAGCCACCAGCTGCACGCCCAGATCTGCGATGGTGACGCGGTCATCCAGGACAATCACTGTCTTCTCAGCCAGGATGGAGTCAGAGAGAGGCGAGAGGACCTTCGAAGGTAAGGAGAAAACTCGGGTCTCTGATCTACATCATCATTTCAAACTCCTTAACTGACATTACCATCAAAGCATCCTCCGATTCTCTGCTAAGTGAACGCGCTTTCAGAGATGGTTCAGTTCGGTTCTAGGCTGCTTGCCAGTCTTACGAAGACCACCCTGGTCCATTCTCTTTCTTCTGATTCATGTGATGTTACTGACAGTGTGTTTTCTGAGGCGAGCTTGATGTGATTTGGTGAGAATAACAAAGTTGTCTTGGCACTGGGCCTGCAAAGAGCAGTATTTTCCCAACAACATATTTGTGCCTCAAAAAGAGCTAATTGTGGTAAGATTGGTACTCAGCCATCTCCTCCTGCTCATCTTCCTTCCCAGGGGCAGGAAGATGTTCATCCCGGCACAGTACCGATTGCTGTGTGGGCTGCCGTGTTCTCCTTGGATAAACCAGTTGACCAGAGTGGAAGGGGAATCTTAATGCCCTAAGAACCCATCCTTCCTGATGAACTTAACTGATAACCAGAAGTGACTAAAACCTAGAGAGGAATGTGTGTAGGCAGAATTTCTAGAACGTCACCCACTAAATATATCCCCAACCCAAACAAAACCCATTGTCATCAAGTCGACTAGAACTCATTGTAACACTATGGTACAGAGTAGAACTGCCCCACAGGGTTCCCAAGGCGGAAATCAGTATGGACGCCGACTGCCACATCTGTCTCCCAGTAAGCAGGCTGTGGAGTTCCAGCTGCCTACTTTGGGGTAGCAGGTGACTACTTAACCACTCTGTCACCAGGTCTTCTAAAGATGTCCCAGAACCTATCAATACAATGAGAAACCACTGTGGCACTATACATGCATATATGCACACATACTCACATACACATGCACACAGACACATACATGAAAATGTGCACACACATAGTTCTGCACAGAAACATCTACCTGCATGTTCATTAATACAGGACAGAATGAGGGGAAGAGCAGGGTGGTGGGCCAACCGTACCTGCACAGTGGTTATTCCAGGCTCCCGGCCAACCAGGGTCCTGCCATCCTGTAACTTGGCGATTTTGGGCTCCTCCACCTTCATGAACTCAGTCACAAGGTCTGTGATGTCAAACTGCCAGTCAGGGCCCAGCATGTAGGTCAGCTGACCCACCTCAGGCGCCTCTGCCACGAACTGGGTCAGGACCCGGACCGTGGCGTGCTGGTACTGGAGGGAGCAGCCTCTGCCTTTCTTGTCCTCATCTTCCTCGTCATCACTCTCCCGGGTGGGCCTGGAACACAAGAAAACCAGAACCGAGTGTGACTCACTGTTGAAATAGTCACTGAGTCCATTGTTCAGACCTGATAAGACTCTGCAGGATATATAATCAACTGGCTTTTCTCTTATCTCTGTATCTGCCCTTTCAACAATGGATTCCCATGTCCTTCATTCGCTTTGTATCACGTGTGAGCTGATGAACTTGGACACAGGAGGCAAGACACAGCCTGCCCCCAACAAGACCTGGGCAGTGGGAGACCCAGGCCCCATGCAGGTGGAGGCTGTGCCCTTGGCATCATGGAAAGTGGTTTTTTTGAAACCATTCCTCTTATGGGACTGATGCAGAACTTTGGGTCTAGTGAAGTGAATGTGATATTTTGGGTCAAAAGAGCTACTTGGAGTCCTGTTCCCATCTCTACCTGTGTGACCTGTTTCCCCTTTAAGCTCTTTCAGTTCCTGCTTCTCATAGTTCGTAGTTCTGCTATTTGGCACATTTAGGATCTCAAAGTCTTCTTGGTGGATTGACTATATTTGTCCTTAGTAATTTTCTTTGAAGTCTACTTTATTTGATATTAACCTGCTTTTGTCTTTTTGTATTTCTTTGCATGCTATGTCCCATTATATTCCCTGACTATCCACACATTCCATTTGTTATGGTTGAAGGCACTTTCTTGTAGACAGCATATAATTTAGTCGTTTGTGGGGTTTTTTTTTTAAATCCATTCTTCCAGTTTCTATCTTTTCACTAACTTATTTAGACTATTCACATTTAAAGTAATTACTGATGTTGTTAAATACATCAAGTCTATTCGGACACTTAGCAACCCTGTATAGGGTTTCTGAGGCTCTAACTCTTTGTGGGAACAGAAAGCCTCACCTTTCTCCTGTGGAGTGGCTGGTGGACTTGAACCACTGACCCTGTCCTTCATAGTCCAGTGCTTATTCTACAGAGCACCACACTGCCCAATTTCTAATATGTTAGGGTTTAAATCTGCCATTTTATTGTTTACCTGTTAGCTCTTCTTGTGTTTTGCTCTATTTCTCTGTTATTGCTTTCCTGTGAATCACTTGAAGTTTTTTAAATATATAATTCTATTTAGATTGATTGATAGTGATTTTGAGTATATCTCTTCTTATATCTTCTTAGTGTTTGCCCCACCACTTAGAATGAAATGCAGATACCCTGCTTCTATTTAGGCCCCTTTCTGCTTTTGATATATAATTGTTTTAAATATTTCCTCTATGTACTTTAAGAAGTTCTGATGTGGCACTGCAGGATAAGCACTGGACTGGTAACTTCAAGGTCAACGGTTCAAACCCCCAGCTGCTCCTTAGACTCAATGGCACTTAACCACAACAACATGAACTTCAAGGACTGTATCAGATGATTCTGATATATTCACTTAACAGTAACATATTATTTTAGAAATGTGTGAGGGCAATCTATTATATTTATCTCTGCTTTATCCATGGACTCTCCTTTCCTTTCTAAAGTTCCAAACTTAATATAGTGCTAATTTTCTCTTTGTTTACAGCATTTCCATGGAACTTCCATCAAAGGGCAGGTCTACCTGAAACATATTTTCTTACTTGTTCATCACCCTTCCTTCCTGAGGAAAACTTTTGCCAGATCCAGAATCTGCAGTTGACAGTTCGCTTCTGTCCACACTTGAGAAGTTCTGTGCCACTTCCTGCCGGCATCCATAATTTCAGGTGAGAAATCTGCTGTCACTTAATGCCTGTGCCCTAAAAGTCACATCATTTCTTTGGAAGACTTTAGGTTTTTTTTGTCCCCTTTGCCGTTAGTTTTCAGAAGTTTAAATATGATGCCTCTTGACATGAAATTTTAAAAAAAATTTTTCTTCAATTTTTTGAATCTAGGTTTATATCTTTCACCAAATTTGGGGGAGCTTTCATTATCCGTTCTTTTTCTAAATCCTTTTACAACCCTACTTTTTCTACCTGCTGGAGAAACCTGTGCTTGTACAAGTCTCAGCTGATGGGTTAGGGCCACTACAATAAACTCCATTTCTTACAATTGACTGACTTGGACTTTTAGTTGTACTTGTAAAGTCCTTCCACCGGTGCTGACTGAATAACCAGAGAACATAGTCTTGGAGAGCCACCTTTAGAATTCTGCTTAATTCATTTAATTTTGTGAACAGCTCTAACGGAGTCCTGGTCGGTTTGAACTGCAAGGCCAGCAGTTCAAATGCACCAGCCACTCCTCAAAAACCCTATACAGGGTCGCTGTGGGTTAGATCAGACTCAACCACACTAAATAACAACAACTAACCACTGGTACTATCATCCCAATTGATAGATGAAGAAACTGAGGAGTACAGAGGTTAAAAAACTTATGCAGGTTCACACAATCATTAAGTGGCAAAGCCTGTGTAAAGATCAGGCAGCCTTTATTAAACAGTCTACACAGTTAAACTTTCACTCCACTCTATGGATATTGGTTGACATTCACAGGCAGGGGAACAAGAATGAATAATGTAGGAATGAACACTAACAGAATGAGAAATAATTGCATCCTAAATTCCAGGTCTTGTATAAGATGCTTTCTGTATTATTTAATCCTAACAACTACCCTGTGAAACAGTTAATGATTCTCTTGATGATATTCTCTTGTCTCCACACTACTAAGTAGCAAGTGAGATCTCCCTGAATCCCAGGAGCAGACTGTTGTTCCCCTCTGTGGAAATCACCCCACCAGGCCCTGGGACCTTGAGAACCAGTTGTACCACGGTTACACAAAGATCTGGGCCTACATCATATCCAAGGCACCAACCTCTATCTGGACAGCACTCCTGCCCTGGGCTCCTCACCTTCTGTTGGGGGCCACGGGGATCCGCCAGCCCTTGATCTGGCTCAGCTCCGTGTCCGAGATCTCAATCTGCAGGGGGAGTCTGGGCACCCAAACGGTGACTTCTAACTGTGAGGTGAAGTGCTGGTGGGTAAAGTTCACAATCGTGTCCACTCTGCTCTTCATCTCCTTCCCATTCACAAAAATTGAATCACAGTTGTTGGAAACCTTTAGGAAGAGGTGGAATCTTGAGATGCATCAGTAGGAAAAACACAAGCAAAAACCCGCAGTGATGAGAGTTCATGAACTGCATCAGCTCTGATTTATTAGACACTGAGACACCCAGAACAACATGACTTACACAGAAGGTAATCTGTAGGCACTAATTAGTGACAAATACTGATAAATGGACTCGAGGAAAGCCATTCTGTATTACAGAACACTGACAAGCAAAACCATAAACATCGTTTAATGAAATCACATCACCTCTGTTGCTTTTTGTTTGTGTGTGTTTTTTCTTTACCTTGTCTTTTTTATGTACTCATTTCTCCACTGATCAAACCACAGATGCATTATATATTACTCTTGCAACTATATTAGAAGATGCATAAAAGGTGGCCATATGTTACAAAACAATCATATTATTCAAGCCATAAAGAGAATCTTTTTTGAGAAATCCATAGAGATGTGTGGTACATTAAAATCTTGGTGGGAGAAAGTCCCTGAAATATCTGGAAACATGGATGTAATTATTTTTGCCCCATTAAACTAGAGTTCTGCAGAATGGAACTGAGGGAATAGTATTACATTATCATCTTCTGACTTGGCACATTAGCAGGTAAAGAATTACACAATTTGAGCCCCCCATTTCACTTCACATCTTCCCAATAAGCAAATGAGGTGTGTATGACTTCCTCTCCCAGACTATTAGGAAGTGTTGTATGTGTGCCTGGGTAGAGAGGGGAAGGCAAGAGCAAGGATCACTTCATGTGCAGAAGACACAAAGTGTCTTACCCAGTTTGACAGCCTTCAGTGTGAGAAAGGGGACATCACTTCTGTGTCCCTTTTTAAAGCAAGGAGACTTTTCTAAGAATCCCCTCGAGGTCTCATGAGTTCTCATTGACCAGAAGTGTGTCTAATGACCTTCTACAAGCCAATCAATGGTGAGGAGAATGGGATGACAATGATTGGGGTAGGTGAGGGAAACACACATTTTTGTGTTTGTTTTTCTAACATAGATATCCCAGGAGAAAACATCAAACAGCCAACAGAACTACCAAGTCTCTCACTTTACAGTGGACATTGTCTCCCATGTGGTCTAGGCCTCATTTCTTGAACAATGGGAAAACCCTAAGCCTGCAAGTCCTCTAAAAGGACTCAGAGTGTCCCTCAGTTGGGATTCCATTTCCTATACATAGAAAGGGCCTCGGGATTTCCAAAGTCAGGTGTGTTTTTGACAGCGGGATGCATGTGATTGTCTCAAAGTGGGTAAAATCAGGCAAGGAAGACACCGTATTTTGTATGAATGCAGAGGAGTTGCGGTCTATACTATGGCAATCAATGGGATCACCTGAGCCAGAGAGAAGGTGGGGGGGTGGAGGGGAGGTACCCTCTATTGCATCTGCTGCAGCATTCTCACTGGAACCTCTTGAGGCAAGTGTGCCCCCCACAGAGGGAACTGGTGTCAGTCCAGTGGCATTTAGGGACTTTATGGGACCTCCCAGTAGGTGTGGACTTTGGAACCCAAATAGATGGAGCCCACTGGATTTCCTTACAATCCCCTCAACCTGCCTTCATCACAGAACTTTCAAGTGTTCAAGGAGATCCTGAGCCTGTCCAATCTGGGCCTGTCTTGTCGGCATGCAGCCTGTTGTTGTTGTTAGGTGCTGTTCAATCTGTTGTGACTCCTAAAGACCCTCTGTACAACAGAATGAAACACTGCCCGGTCCTGTGCCACCCTCACAATTGTTGTTACATTTAAGCCTACTGGCTGTTGCCACTATGTCAATCCATTGCATTAGGGGGTTTTCCTAATCCCCATCTTAGAAGCACAGAGAATCTCCAGCAAGCTTCAAGTTAACATAAGGCCTAGCTCAGGCCAGAGCTGTTACAGTACAAGAAATGAATCACAGAGACTCCACTGAGGGAAGAAGACAGACTTGAATACAAACGATTATAATATACAATGATTGGCAAGACAAGATAACTAGGCCTCGCTGTTGCCTCCAGGCCAGACAAACTCATGATGGGGCTGCTCCCTAGATTCCCGATGCCCAGAGCATCCCTTTCCTACCAGGGCTCCCTGACACTTCGCTCATCTGACCTCCACCCCCATTAGATAGCATCCATGCAGAGCATACACATTCAGTGTGGACTTTGCTTGTTGGTCCATCTCTGAAGAAAATAAGAAGCTTTGGAACTTTGGCCCTGGGGGAAAAAGCCTATATTGAATTCAACATGGTTTAACTCTGCATTTGGAGGGAAGTGTTAGCAAATCTTGACCCTGATGAACAGAACTCCAGTCACCTGGGCCCAGGACTATGACATGGTGCTAAATTTAGCACAGGCTAACTGCTGAGATGCTTTCATGCTAACATTGCATCCCTGGATATGGGAGATTATAAAGGCTCCACCACGCTCCTTAGCCTAGGGGAAGATTCAAGCACTTGGCATTCATGGAACACTGCCCCAGAAGGGATTAGGAGCTGTTTATCTGGTGAAAACCCAGCATATGGTGCCACCCAGCTCCCTGTACCAGCTCTGACCGGCATGGAACCTGCTAGAGAGAAGCCTGCTAATGAGGTACCAGTGGCATGGATGCTGCAGCCACCAGCTTAGAAGTCCAAGGTTTACATAGAAATTAGTGACATAAAAGGACAACATTTTGGCAGGATAAGAATATTCCCAAAGAAAAGAGAAAGAAAGAGAGAACTTGTGGCATAGTGGTTAAGCGATTGGTGGCTAACTTAAAGGTTGGTGGTTCAAAGCCATCAGTGGTTCCACAGAGAAAGATGGAGCAGTCTGCCTGTAAGGAGAAGAGCCTCAGAAACCCTATAGGGCTGTTTACTCTGTCCTCTAGGGTTGGAATCAACTTGAAAGCAATGGGTTGTTTTGAGTATTGAAGGCATCTTTGTAATATGCCCTATGGAATGCACCTAACTATCCAACATATTTATAACCAAATTCTGTTTAAACACATGATTACCCATAATTTCTCAGAACCCTTGGCCTGAGGGGGTGGAGCTTCAGGAGGTGTTCTTATTAACCAAACTGCCAAATCCAATCGGAGACCAGGGAGGGGGACAGTTCAGGAAGGTTCCTATGAAGGAACATGGGGACACATCCCGAGCCCCATTCAAAGGAAATAGCTGCCACTTAGCTGAGGCCCTCGCTGCCATGAGGGGATGCTGGGGCAGGCAGGGCTCAGAGAGTTCCTGACTTCCCAAGAGGAAAGTTAAGTCCAGAATTTTAATAGTTCTCCATATCAGCCTCTAACGGCATATTTCTGAAGTTCTGTGCTGGCCAGACAGAGCAGGTTGTGGGGCTGTGCTTTCCTGGTGACCTGTCCTTGAAAGACTCAGCCTAAGGTCAGTGTGAGTCCTATGATGTGATGTCAGTAGAAAGGAACACAAGCTTTTGGTTTATTTCCCCTCTGGTATATTAAACACTTAGCTACATATCTGTTTCATTAGCATCATGTTCCAAGCCTTGTTAAAAATGTTTACTGACTCCCCACAGACTAGACCAGGAAAAGGAAGTCAGTTCATCTAACTTGCTTGTGCAAATCAATTCACAGTGGCTGCCCAGGGAGCTCTTCCTTGAAAAGACACCTGGCCTCCTGTGAGAAGGCATGCAGTGATTGATTGGTGATGTCTGCCATGGGCACAAGCTGTAGGTAATAATACATGTATCTTGTCTCTGCTATCCTCGTCCCATAAACTCATTTCTTTAGCAGAGTTTAGAAGGTTTTCAAATCGCCTCTTCTATTCTAGCCTCATCCATTGTCCCGTCCTTCCATCCACATGTCCCAAACACAGAGACCACTCTCCCACAACAAAGATTCACATTCCTTACATTGACACTGTGCTCGTACCCTGCTTTTCTACAAATCGGAGCTCTCTGTCTGAAAGTACGTGATGTGTCAAGCTTAAAGGCTCCACAGACACATCACACATATGATTTATAACTCTCATTGAAGCTGCCTCTAAGGTACCCATTTTATGGAAGACTAAACAGAAGACACCTCTAAGATGGTGGATAGGGTAGACATGCAGTGAGGAGCTCCATCACCAACAACACAGAATACCAGGTCATACAGGCTCAGAGGATGATACTAGAACTCTGAACCACATATAAAGGAATATTTAGAAGATTGGAAGGCTTACAGCTAGGGGGATTTGTAGCAGAATCAAGAAATCCATGGCTTTCTAATTCAAGATGCTCAGCTACTCCTGGAGCCACCATCTTGGGAGAGACTAAGTGGAGGAAGGATCAGAACAGCCACAAATGCCTGAAAGAACTGTGGAGACACAGGTGTGGACATTCTTTTTCTGGTATCTGTTCATTGGTCTCTCGCTGTCTGCA